CCTTTATGTAAATAATGAGTATTAATCATCAACTATAACAAATTTAATCAAATGAACACTTTGAAAAAAGTTGAGATCTTTATATACCCAACCATAGTTAGGAGATCAATAATGTAAAATATTTGAGGAATTATGCCTCCTATCAAAAGTTCAAAATGAAGTTTATTATCAAGAGCCAAATAAGAGATATTTTCTTTTATGAACTAGGACTCACTGAAGACTCCCACGGCAGAGGCAATAATAATCAGGACAATTTTAAGAAAGATGACAGGTAATGGCCATTCCGAAATCAAAGAAAAGCCAATAATTGTAAAGCGTTGAAGTTGAGGAACCTTGGGTAGTTTACCCTCAACACTAGCATAAGTAAGACCCGCGACAAGAATAACTAATGCGTAATAAATAATTCCGAAAACCATAATGCATAAAGCCAAGTTTACAGGCTAAAAATTCCTTCTACTCGCAAAAAGTCGTTAAAAATTCGAAGTCACATGATATGAATGTCGCTCATCCGAAACGAAAAATACGAGAAAAGAAATGCCTAAACATGGCTTAGGGCACTAATAAAAAAATGTTTGGAGAACAATTCACGTATAACCCCCATTACTGCATTGACACTAAGCTCTAAATATAACGTTATGTATATAAATTGGCAAGATCGCGAAAGTCGAAGAAAAAAAATTTTGAACATGTGATGATCCGGCCAATAAGGTCTATCGTAATTAATTATTTTTTTATCGTTATCGTTTATCCTTAGATCGTCTATTGTCATAATGTATACGTACATATGGTACATATACGTAGCTTAAAATGAGCTGTAATATAGACTATATATGATGGATTAATCATGACAATTTGCAGGCAAATTTGCCTGTAGGACTAATTAAAATATAATCGTCTAAAAATACTGTATTTATCCCGCACTAAGCATGAATTACCATTTAAATGATATCACGGTGCAGATTAGTGGTAGGCTTCGCAATTTATACGTATGATCTCAAGCTCAAAAATTTTTTCAAAATAAAAATCGAGTCTTTCGAATAGTGTAAAGTAGTAACTGTATGCTCTTACTGAAGTATGTATTTAAATCATTTTTCTCTAAATATATTCTGAAATTTTTTTTTTTTTTGTGATTATAACAGCTACTACGTAGATAATTTATTTTCTCAACAAAGAAATATCAAAATGACCAAAAAAAAAAAAACCATTATTTCTAGTCTCACGCGGTCATATGTTTATGGTTACTAATCTTAAAAAAGACAGCAAAGCAAGTCCACAAGACCAAACTGCGGTCGTACATAAATTGGTTTGCGGAGACAAAGAAAATTGAAGTTAATTGGACTTTTAATAGTCTCTAACGGCCTCCAATAATAAAGAATGCTAAATATAATAACTATAATATTCTTATTGTAAAGTTCTTTGTTATCCATAACTTATCTTTTTATATAACGAATAGCGATAAAAGAATTACATAATAAATGTGTTTTGTACTTACCAAAGTGATTACCAGTCACGAGGTTACGATTAATAAAGATTCCTTGCAAGATTGGGTCCTATTCTTAACCCTAACCTTAACCCAAATTGTAATAGTCTAAAACAAATTCGCCCGAAACTCCGCCAGGAGTCTAGACACAACCCCTGTAGCTTACCCACAAAAAATTTTCCGGCACATGAATTTAGCCAATTAGATAAAAGGATCAGGTGAAAATCGCGTCTTTTTAAAAAATCGCTAAAAACTCGAAATTTTGCCTATGAAACTGCCTTCTGCGTTCTAACAAAAAATTTTCCTTGTGAAATTTTGGTACAAGCTATGTTTTTTCTTGGCCTTATTCCTAACCCTAAAGATGAAGCTTATTACTTAAAATCTTTCGCTTAATTTGATTGTTTAGATTTTATATTACACCAGATTCTTCGATCTAATTGGCTAAAAATCATGTTCCGGAAAATTTTTTGCCAAACTCTCTAAACACATTACAGTAACGTGATGAGCATTGTGGCACGTTCGAATAAGCTTTTTTGGTTTTATATTATGGTTTTGGTTAAAGTTTGTGGTTATAAATTTTTTTTTTTTTGGTGTTAAGGTGACCTCTTGGTCAAATACGCTTTATTGAGTTAGAACAGTTATTATACATATTTGGAGAGTATATCTAGCCATACCTGCGCCTTTTGAGCATCTATTTAAGTAGTCTGTCTATTATTAGATTCTATACTAGTTGCTGTACTTGCAACCTGACTAGGGGGTTACTTATATTAATTCTTTGTATATATGTATTTTGAGGTTTACAACAATTAGCAATTATTTTTCTAGTTTTATGAATTGGTCTTTCTGGTATATATTTATATGATGATTTAGGATTTTAAAGCAGATCTTTATCTTTTTAATAACCTACTTCTGGTCTTTTTT